AGCAGGAGCTGGACTTCATGGCAATTCATAGTAAATGGTACAAGGAAAAGACTCATTATTTTACAGATGGGTCAGCTTTTTGCTGAATAGTATGTCACATTGCCTACTACTAGCATTGCTGATGATATGAAACCATAGTACATAAGGTTAGCGATCATAGGGGAAACACCTGTTTTGAGTTTCCTGGTTCATCTAGATTTAATTTTCAACTCTAACTTTGTCTTGGTTTCAACCTCATTTTTTAATGGCAACCAGAAACCTCTATTCCAGAGCTTTCTGACATGGTCATTTTGAAATGAAACACTTTGCTTGTGCTAAAGCTCCTCACTCTTAACGGTTATTTCTGACCTAACTTTTTTTAGTGCTTTGCTTTTTTTTAATATTTTTTTAAAATTAAAAACTAAGTAAACTGTCTTCCACAGCTATCGTAGCAGTGTCATTCTCTTCTTATTTCTTAACTGGCAGCAGCCAAAATACGAAACCCAGAATGACCTGTCAGCAAAAGCTACTGTCCAGGGATTCTGAGATGGCTTGTGGAATAGCAACATCATCTGGGTTGGGGTGGAAAACTTTGTTTAGGACTTGCGGAGTTGACAGTATTGCAACAAATGAGTTACTGTGTAAACGTATTACTTCTTTGCAGCTGCTAATACTTAGATTAAATAATTGCCCTCATTGTGTACACCTAGCATAAATCAATTGAATTTGGCTTGTAAACTAATCAAAATGTATATGGAATATCTTTCTACTACTAAATCCTTGCTATTTTTTCTAGCATACTCCTGTAATCCTTGTTACAGTCATCACAGGGGAATTGGTTTCTTAATTAAGACCAAGGAAAAAGTATCAGTATGTGTTTTGCTTTGTTTTTAACAACATCAGTTTATGAAGTTTTAGGGTTTAGCTTCAGGTTATTTGGTTTTCACTGCAGAAAAACATAATTGGGTTTTAAAAGCATGCTTTTATATGTAGTTCAGAAAATTATTTCATCTCTATTTTTCTTTCTAATGGCAAACAAGTTGGAATGGAAATACTGTTGCTTAACACAGATAGCAATTAGCACTTGTTTTGGAGTAGCTGTGCTAGGCAGTAATTTGGAATGATGATGAAGGGTAACCACTTCAGTTTTTGCATCTCTGCCATCTTCTATAACTGATCTACAAGAACTAGTTTTGAAAAAAGATAAATTCCAAGCTCCAAAGATGAAATAATCAAAGAATCGTTTTCCAGGAGTAAATCTGATTTCTTGGGCCAGGAGGGGAAATGGGGAGTGTAAAATCAGGAGCATTAAATTATGGTATTAACAACTGGAGTTACCTTCTGAAAGAGGGGTACAATGTGCAGCAGTTAAAGTACAGTGTGCATGGGAGCAGTGTGGGCAGCATGCAGGGTTGTGCCCCTCCCTGCTGCCCCTGCCCACAAGGGAAGTGTGGCCAGGGGAGCTTGGAGTGGCAGGCAGCTTTCTGTGCTCCTCTCTGTGCCCTGCCACACTGGGTCCCACACACTGCCCTGCAGAAGCAGTGGGGAGCATAGCCGGTGTCTGCTGCCGCCTCAGAGCCCTGGGCTGGGGCGGCAGCAGCTGTTTGCAGCCTCCCAGCTGCAGCCAGCCCAGGTTCTGGGTAGCTGCTGATAGCCACAGAGCCTGGGCTGGGGAGCAGGGGCTTTGGATGGGGGGCAAGGGGCACATGGGGGACAAGGGGCAGCAGGGCTGGAGGGCAGGGAGGGGTAAGGGGCAGCACGGCTCTGGGGCATGGGCTTTGGGTGAGGGGCAAGGGGCACAAGCAGGGCATCCTTCCATGTACCCCCTGCCCTCGTTTTGTTTTTCTGGCATGCCAGCACTCCAGCACCTTGCAAGGTAGGTATTATGGGGTTTTTTGGCACTCCAGCCAAAAATCGTTGCCTACCCCTCTCTAACATTAATATGCACAGCACCTTATACTGTAATTTATGGGTGTAAAGAACTTTTGGCCAACCTCTCATTCAAAAATTAGTGATGAAGAGAAGAATGCTTGTTCCCTTGCATTGCTTAGTCCTTGACCTCCTCTACGCAGTAGATTTATACCATAATTAATGTGTTAATCACAGCATAAATTATGAGAATGTTACATGTGCACCCAATTTAAAGTGCCATAGAAGGGCAAACCAGCCATAAAATTGTTCCACATATGAAGTAGAAGAATTCTGTGGCTGGTTTATATGGTGCTGATTTGTTAACTTCCACTAGGGACCTCACCAGCATCTGGAACTGGCCTTAGTGTGACCCCTGCTAGGCTGACAATCAGCTGATTGTCAGCTCCAGCCCCACAGCTGTGGGCACCCAGCTTTTCAGTCATAATTCTGGGCTCTTCTTGCACTGGCAAGTAGGGCATGGTTTGGGATCTGATCCCAACAATCACACCTTCTGCCATACGTATTTGTCATGGTAGGAGGAGCAATTGTTAGGATCTGGGATCAGATCCCTGGGCATGTTTAAGTGAACATCTGCCAGGGCCCCTTGAGGCATCTACAGGAACTGATGGCAAGAAAGCAGTTTGTATTAGTCTGTTTAGTGCAGGGCCCAGGCAGTTATTTCAGACGGGGGGCCGCTTACTGAGTTTTGGCAAACCATCGAGGGTCGCATGACAGGCAGCCAGGGGCAGATAAATATTTATTTTCTAAATTTTTTAGGGGCCCCATGGGCCGGATAGAATGGCCTGGTGGGCCGCATCCAACCCGCGGGCCGCATTTTGCCCACCCCTGCTTTAGTGTATGGGTACCTGCAGCTTCACTAAAGTATTGGAATATGTCAGGCCTTCTCCTGAAAAGTTGCTTGGTGATTACAGTGTTTGGTTGCTGCTGTTTGTCACCAAATCTGAACAAGTAACCAAGGGAGACAAAGTTCCATATCACCTGTATTCAGTTTCCCTAATCTATCCAGTTCAGCTGGCACTTTTTTTTTTTATAGTAAAAAATTCCATTCATGTAACTAGAGCCTTCCACTGACAAATCAAAGCTATCTTGTGGTCAGATTCTCATTAAATGCTTGTTAATTACCAATATAACATTAACAACAAGTTAAAAGATATGAGACTCCTCTGAGCTGAGTTAGCAGAACTAAAATTGGCTGCAATACAAATCAAATGGCTAATAAGCTGTTATAGTGATCATCCACCTGGTAGGTACCAGGTGCACATGTTGAGCTAGAACACCATATGGCAACCTGTTTAATGATTGACAAATATGGATCCCACTGACATGAAATTTGTGCTTATCTAGCATCCTTTTTCTGAAAAGACCATACATGAAACAGAACCTTATTCTTTTGAAGCAGTTTTTTTCAGCCTTGTATTCTTTGCACTTGGGTGAATTTGGTTTCAGCATCAGAATTTAAAATAATATGTTGCTGCTGCACAGCATTCAGTAGCAAAAATGTCTATTGTGGGAGAATCCAGTAAGCAGCTTGTATCGTGAAGTCAGTGGACTCTTTAGTGAGCAGTATATATTTAACTTAGGATAACTGTATGTCCCACATTGGCTGGGACAGTCCTGGATTTTGGAGACCTGGTCCCAGCCAGCCAGTGAAAATTAAAAACAGTGTCCTAGGTCCAGAGGCAGAGTGGTAGGAGCTGTGAAGTTGGAAGCAGTATTAACACTAATTGTTACTTAAGAGGTGACAATTAACACTTATGAAGTAAAGAACACTGGATCACTAATGGGCCATTGACTCCCTGCAGCACTGGGCAGGAAGGGGAGCAGGCAGGCAGCATCCTGGATTTCACATTCTTTCATATAGTCACCCTAATTTAACTTCGTATGGTATTTTGTTTTCAAATGAGTATCGTTTACTTAGTGTGACCCCCTTTGTCAACTGCAGTAAATAGTATTGAGCAGTTGATTTGTGTGATATAGCTCACTCAAGTCCTTTGCTTTGATACAGAGTGAAGATAGTCCAAGTCCTAAGAGACAACGCCTTTCTCATTCAGTCTTTGACTATACAGCAGCATCCCCAGCCCCATCACCGCCAATGCGACCATGGGAGATGACATCAAATAGGCAGCCTCCTTCAGCTCGACCCAACCAACATCACTTCTCAGGGGAACGATGCAACACACCTGCACGGAACAGAAGGAGGTAAGTTCGTTGTTCAGATTCTGGGGTTACTTGCTGGCCTCTTTACCAGATGAGGAGAGCCTTGGTTTCAAGCAGCAGTGTTTTGACAATAAAGTCAATTTTTAGAAAAATCACAGCCTTTAACACAGGGTTAGAAGGGACATTGAGAAGGTAGTCTGGTTTATCTTCATGGCCAGCTGGACTTCAGTCATTCCTGACAGGCGCTCTCTTTTTCTAGCCTGTTCCAAAGAACCATCAGTAATGGAGATTCAGCAGCCTTCCTAGGTAATCTGTACCACTGCTTAATTTACAGTAAGGTACTTGTTCTTAATGGTCAACATAATTCTTCCTTGCTGCAATTTAAGCCCACTTCTTGTCCTACTTTTAAAACAGCTCAACCTTTTTAGACTCAAGGTACCCTTCAGAAAACATGTTCTTTTACTTTTCACTCTTTTTTTTGTTGTTGTTGTTGTTTTTACTACAGAAAAATAGTAACAACTGAGTTCTGTTTCAGACTTTGTGTTGCAAAGGATTTAGAAAGATTACAGCAGGTCAGACTGTTTTTAATATTCTGGTTTCCTGTTTGAAAACTTTTTTTTCTTGCGAATCATGTTTGCACACAGAGCAGTTCTAACATTACGTGACATCCTTGGAAGGATCCCAAAGCACCTCAGGATGCCATGGCACCTTGGTTGAGAATCACAACTCTATAGGGCACGAGGAACAATTTATAACATAGTAATTACTTCTACTTACCATGTCTCTGTCTTTTTCTTCTTTAAACAAACCATATTCTTTTTATTTCCTTGGATATCATATTTTATGTATGTCTGATTTGCCAGGGATCCTTGTTTTCTCTGTTCAAAAATTGCAAATTCTCTGATTTAAAACCCCCCAAATCCACATATTTCTGCAATTAAAATAAAACAGTACACGATTATACCATACCATGCCATACCCCGCCATGCACACATATATATGTAGGTATCATTTGAACACAATGTTTTATTGATATACTTACAGTTCTAAAAGCAGTTTAAAAGCCTACCAGTACCTCAATCACTATAATAAAATACATTCTAAATACCTATAAGTTATGGTGTTTGATTTTTGTTTTATCATCAAAAATCAGAGTTCCCCCTGCCCCCTTCGCTCACCAGAAGGCAGTTCCAGCTGCAGCTGTTGCACCCCCGCCCTCCCCATTTTGTAACACTAAGCAGCCCTGGCATGCTAGTTCCCTGCCCGTGCCAGTGGCCCTCAGTACTTGCCCACAGCCCCCCACCACCTCTAACTGCTAGGTCTGCAGCCCCCCTGCTCCCAGCAGCGCCTCCACAGGAAAGTGGGGAAATGGTGGTGGCTGCATGGGGTGGGGCAGGGGAGTGGGGAGCGACAGTGAGTGGGTTGGTGGGAGCACAGCAACAGCTGTGCACGAGCGTGGGGCTCATGCCAGAGCTGGCAGGGGCCCTGGGTGGGGCAGCAGAAGCATGGGGCCCTAGCTGGCATGGGGTTCTATGGGAGCTGGGCTGGGCTGTGCCCGTAGGGGAA